TTGTCATGGTCCTCGTGTGCCTCAGAATATAATGCATCCATTATAGATGTGGTGGCGCACACCTGTAATCCCAGCACTTGGGAGGCTGAGGCAGGAGGTCACTTTGAGTTGTATAGTGAGTTCAAGGCCAGTGAGAACTCGTCTCACAGCGAACTACATAGTGAGACCCGTCTCAAAAAACAAACAAAATACAGTGAGCAGGGCCGGGGATTTAGTTCAGTGGTTCTGCTGCCTGCCTCACAAGCATAAGGACCCCAGTTAGATCCCCAGTGCCAAAAAAAAAAAAAAAAAAAAAAAAAATGGGCAAAGAGAATCTGGGAAGGCCAGTCATCCCTCACATGCTCCCTCTCATTTTCTGCAGTCCCAGTTACCCACTGTCAACTGATGTTCAAGAATATTAAATAGAAAAGTCCATTTTAAAAATTCACAAATTGGGCCAGGGATTTGGCTCAGTGCTTCCGCTGCCTGCCTCAAAAGCTACAGGTCCTGAGTTTGGTCCTCGGTAGAACAAAAAAAAAAAAAAAAAAAAAAAAAATTGGGCAGAGAGATTCTGCTGGAAGGCCAGGCACCACCTGTGTGGCTGAAGGATGTACACACACTGGAATCAGGGCTAAGAGCCAAGATAACTGGCTTTGCCAGAGGATTCCGCAGCTGAGCGTTCTGGTGCTGGTCATCTAACCTGACTTAGCCTGTTTCCACAGGTAAAGAATGGGACTAAAATCTGCTTGGGGTGGGGGCCAGGTGCATGAAATGACCTAAGACCTGTTTATTTAGTACTTAGCACATCACCAAACTCAAACAACACCTGTCATGTGTGAAACACTATCAACCTACAAAATGGAGAAAATGATGACTACTTTGCAGGGTTGCTATGGGGGAAATCAAGGAAATGCACATCTCTGCCCTCATGGCACAGTCTGGCCAGTGGCAGGCACACTGAGCGTCCTTCCCAGGTAGGCCCACTCTACCTTAGAAAGGCAGAGCAGAGGAACACCTGTTTCAGGGTCTAGAGCTCCGGTTTGCAGTACAAGCACTGACAGACCTTGGGCTGAGTATCTCTAATCCCTAAGTGGGAATTCCCCCATTTTTCCGTGATGCCTGGGATGGGAAGTTTGGGAAAGGATCTTTATCTACTTGGGGTTTCCAGAGAAGGAAGCCACTTTCTGCCAAGAGAATAATTTCCTGAATGATTGATTAGATTTAACAAGAGCCTGAAGGTAAGAACCAACGGCTCTGCTGCTTTACCAGTGGACTTGTGACTCAGGAGGCTGAACAACACAGTTGCCACAGGAGCTTGTCCATTTCAAATCCAAGCACCAATAGGGCTGGGGATTTAGCTCAGTGGAACTGCACCTGACTCAAACAAACAAACAAACAAACAAACTGCAAATCCAAGCACCAAGCAGCTCAAACCCTGCTCTATTCTACCAGAGCTCAAACCTGGTTGTTTGGGAAAGAGGTAGGCAGCCTGTCAACTAATAATGCCCACCCACCTCCCTGCCTGGGTGTCTGCACTCTGCCTGCCTCTGGTATCAAGTCTAGGGTCTGGGCTGGGGAACCCTCCTCCAGCTGGGAACTTTCGCATTCCTACCTGTCATCTCAGGTAATCTCCTCAGCAACCCTGAGTGGGTAGCTGCTGGTGTTGCCATTTTACAGAGGTGGAAGCTGAGGCCTGTAGGGAACAATGAACTCCCAGGGTTCCAGAGGCAGCGATCAGCAGAATTGGGATTCAAACACTGATCTGGCCAACCCGAAAGCCTAGACCTGGCTTCCTAGTTTTGAAATGGAAGCTGCTAACAGGTAAGAAAGAATAAGTAGCTAGGTTCTAGCTGCATTCCAATCCTGGGTGCGCTGGATTGAGATGAACCAGGACAAAGGTCCCTTATAGCTGTTATGTGTTCATTCATTCATTAAAAAATATTTATTGAGAACCTGGCACAGCACTGAAACTATCCACATAAATAAACCTCAGTTGTTGTGTTACCACGTAGTGCAGGAGGTCACGAACAGATGACTGAAATACGGCCTGTTCAGAGCAACCAGAGATACGAGGACAAAGAGCAGGAGGAATGGAAAAGCTACTTCTGCCCCTGGGATCAAGGAAAGGTTCCTTGGAGTCAGCAGTTGTGGGAGCGTAGGTCCCCTACAGAAGCAGACAGAGGATTCCCAGACAGAGGAATAGCAGGGTGTGATGGCTCAGAGGCTAGAAGGGAATTTGGACCTTTGGTGAGGTTTAGGGGCATGGGCAGCAAGGGCATGGACAGCAGATGACTAGTTAACAGTGATGGCTGAGCCCTTCTGAGCACTGGGTCTGCAATCCTGACAACCCCGAGAGGTCACTGCCATCAGCCTCAACTTACACAAGAGGAAATGGAAGCATAAGGAGGTGAAATAACTTGGCCAACACAGCTGGGCCAGGGCAACTCAGCTGGTTCAGACCTGTCCGGCCCTCACTTTGGTCCCAGGCTCAAGGGTTTGTGCCTCCTCCTATACTGACAGGGATGGGAGGCTGGCTTTAAGCAGGGAAGCAGCAGGGCAGGTGTTTTTGCTTCTCCCTGCCCTTAGGTGGCGGGGAAAAGAACTGGGGAGGCCTGGAAGCCCACTTTCAGCCTCTTAGGCCTAGGCAGGCCAGCAGGGATGGCCAGTGTCCCAGGTACCTCTTACCTTCTCCTTGTGTCATTCCTGAATTGGGCTGGTCCCCCAACAAGATGCCACTCAGCCAAGCAATCCCTGCCTGGCACCTTTCCACTCATGACTTCTTCACTTATGAATACTGATGAAGGTACTGGAACAGCCCCACTCTACAAATCCTGGCTGAAACTAATTAGCAAATCTCACCTAGATACCTTAGGTGGGAAAGGGATGCATGCATTCATTCATTTATTTATTTGAGACAAGGGCTCACTCCTTAGCCCAGGCTGGCCCTGAACTCATGGTGACCCTCCTGCCTCAGCCTCCCAAGTGCTGGAATTACAGGCATGTGTCATCATGCCCAGCCCTGGAATGCATTTTAGAAAAAAACAAAACAAAACATAATGTGTATGGACATTTTTTGCAGTATCAGGGCGGGTCACCTGAAAGCTCAATATATCAGATTATGGTAATTTTCTACCAGAGGGTCTTAACATTGCTGGCCAGCTATGAATAAAGCTGAAAGAGCTGGTTGCACAGAGCTGGAATCCAAATGCCTAGGATAAATGTGCCCAATTTAGCACTGAGTAGGGGCGCCAGCACTTCCAATATTTCTAAAATTCCAGAGAAGCATCTCACTGTCCAGAGTTCCCATTTTATGGGTGGGAGAATCAAATCTCAGAGAACACCTGACTTGCACAGTGATGGTGTCCTCATGTCCTGGCCTAATGAACACACACAAATGCAGCTGTCACCCCACCATCTGGGGGCACCTGACTCTGGGGTCACAGAGCAGGAGACCCAAGTCCACCGCCTTTTTGGATGGCATCGTGAAGCAGGTGTGCTACGCCATCTCTCTACGCTAGCCTCCCGCGGGGCCCTCTGGCACCCAGCAGCCCAACCAAAAGGGCAAAGGGAGGGTCTGAAAATGACTGTATCTTGGTGGTGATGATGGGGATATCGTGTGGGTGCCAAAGTCCGAGAGAGAAAAAAAGAAAATGACAAATCGATGGACTTGGCTCAAAGTTCAAACGGGGTTAATGCCTGGGAACAGAGGTCCCAGGTTTCAACTCCCTGCCAGGGGTGCTCCAACTTCTCTAACCCTTGCCGATGCCAAGTTGGCAGGGGAAGTGGAAGCACAGTGGCTCTGGCATTCCCAGCACCTGGCTCTGGCTGGACAGGGCTCCCAGTGACCTCATGCCCACCAAACCAGTTGGTCCTCTCAGTCTCCACCTTCTTTTTACCTTAACCTCAACTCTGCCCTTTCTCTCTCCAAGGAGGATCCTCCTGGCCCCACAGACCACCTGCCACAAGCAGCCACCAGGTAGAGAAACAGCACGATTAAGAGGCCTTGCTCCCACAGTCTGCATCCCAACCCTCCCCTCCTGCTCTCTGGGGACAGGAGGCTCAGCACAACAGCTCCTGTTTTGCCAGCTGCCTCTTTTGCAGCTGATCCAAACCGGGACTGTTTGGAGGAAGAACCAAACACGGGCAAAAGCACCCAGCCTGCTCCGTGTCCAGGCACCGGAGTAAGCAATCACAGCGCCCGGCAAGACCAGCTGCCCTCGGTGGGCTCTGCAGGCTGCTGCCTGGCCATGTGCCCGCTCCCTCCCCCAGCGTTCCTCCTCCTCCTCCTCCCTGATACAAGCTAGTGCTTACTCCTCACATTCCTGAGAATCATAAATCCTCCTGGGTGGCAGGGCCACCACCCCCAAGACGCCTCTGCCTCTCTTCCCAGCACCCCACCCCCACACATCGCTCAGAGACGCTGGGGCTTCCTCTCTTCTTAGAAGTCACACTGGATCTCAGGAGGCTAAAGTCCAGCCCGGGTGAAGTTAATGATACACACACCAGGAGGCTGAAGGAGCTGTGGGCCAGCCTCCCAGGGACCCATCCCCAGTCCAGGGGGTCGGCACAGAAGACGGGTAGTTATTCTTCCAGCTTTCTGATGTTGGGACGCGCTCGCCTTCGCCCCAACTTCATTTACCACCGACAGGGGCAGTGGAGGAAGCGGGCACTCTGGAGCGGAGGAGTCCTCCTCCCTGCCTAGCTCCGAGCTGTGGGGACTCAGAGCTGGCCCCCCCAGGGAGAAGCAAATTTGGACGGAAGCCGAGGGAAAGGAATCTGGGCTTCCTTGAACTGCACTCCCAAAGGCCAAGGGACAAGAGGTGCAGACGGCAAAGGTGCTGAGGTTCTCGGGCCAGGCTGTTCAGGAGGATGCGGTCCCGGACAGGAACCGCCGGGGCGCTGGGTCGGTAGGCGGAAGCAGGCTCCCTCTCCTGTGGGGCTCGAATTTCAGAAGGGCCTGGACGTTCAGGGCGCCAGGCTCTCTCCGCGACCCCCCAGCCCGGGCCCCGGCCCACACTTACCCGCTCCGAGTGGCTCTTCTCGGCCTCGCGAGGCTCATTTTCGTTCCCATCCGTCTGCGCCTCGTTGGCGGCCGGTGGCTCGGCCTGCCCGGGTTCTTCCTGGGCGCGCAGCAGCTCCTCCCCGACCTGGACGCCGAGCTTCTTCAGCTGCTCGTCGGTCTCGGGGTCGACCACCAGCAGGCGCACGGCGTTCGGCGAGGCGCGGATGCGGCTCACCACCTGCTGGTGGGTCTCCTTCTCCACGTTCTCGCCGTTCACCCCCACCAGCCGGTCCCCGGCCAGCAGCCCCGCCTTCTCGGCCGGAGAGCCAGGCTCCACCAGCCGGATGAACTGGCCCACCTTGCCCTTCTCCCCGTGCAAGTGGAAGCCGTAGCCATTCGGACCCTTCTCCAGGCAGCAGAGCCGGGGCAGAGGGGCCCCGGCCGCCGCGTCCGCGCTCATCTCGCCCTGCGACGGCTCAGAGGCGCGAAGCGGGGTCCCGTCGAGGATCCCGGGATCGACGGCCCACCCTTTCTCACCCCCGTACGAACCGGAGGGCGAGAGGGAACGCCGCAGGAATCCCGACGCCTGCAGAGAGCGCAGGTGTCCAGGGAACGCCGGCTGCGAACCACGAAGACCCGGACGAAAGAACGCGAGCTAATTCCCGCCCAGCGAGACGACTGAGCGTTCCAGAACCCAGCCGGCCTCTAATCCCGGGGGCGGGACCGCGCCGAGGGTGTGGACCATCACAGGCCAATCAGGGGACACGGGCGGGGACGTTCGGGCCGGGTGAACGGCGAGAGCCAATGGAAAGGCTCGGGGGCGGAGCCTGTGCTCGGCTCGGCGTCCCGCGGAGGACAGAGAAAGAGGGCTCAGGAAGTGGAAGTGTTTGTTACCAGTGCCGGAGTTAAACCGAGGGGCGGGGCCAGAGCGAGTTCCAGGTATTGGGCGGGGCTCACAGGCCCCAGTCAGGTTTACCAGCTGTGCCCCGGGTAGATCAGAGCCATACCCAGGCAGAGGACCCTCACGTCTTTAAGCCAGCTTCGTTTGACGGAAGCTACGGTTGCCAGGGAAACCGCCCCCGCACTGGGGCCTGGAGGACCGGCTGTCAAGAACTGGATGCAGGTCCTCCTTGGACACGACCAAATTGTTTGAATAACAGTGTTTCCGTTTGTGGAGTCACTTTGCGCTGTCCCAGGACCTGAGTATTGGGCGCGGGCTCTGATCCCTGTTGGGAAGGCCAGTGGATGAAGCAGAGAGCCCGAGGCTCCTCTGAAGCCCACGTTAAACTGGACACCGTAGGGCACTGGCGTCAGCGTCTGGTTAGGGAGGTGCGGTGAGGCGAAGCGGAATGAGTCAGGTAATCAATCTCAGGGTGCACTCCCCCAGGAAAGGAGCCCTGGCTTTTTTCAACAGGGAAAGAAAAGTGACCAGGAAGGCAAGATAAGCATTCCAGCTCTCTCTTGCCAGATATCTCAGAGGGGGGCGGTCAGTGAAGGGCGAGCTGACCCTTTGAAGACACTGAAGGATGAAGAGCCAATGATTTTGGCAGTCAAGGGCAGTTGCCCCAATGTGCAATAACGATTCCTTTAACGTGATCCCTCCTCCCATGCCCACTTCAAACAAACAGTGGACAGGGTGTACTTCCAAAATACTGCAATTTAATTCTGAAAAACACAAATGGTAGAAACCCAGAGCTGCCTATGTGCCTCTATCTTTTGAAACCTGCCCTGGGTTCCAGAAGAGACCTGCAAGATCAGGCCTCTCCCTGCTCCACCTGGGAGAGACTAGGGAGAACTTTGTTATCTTCCTTATCGGCCCAAGTGGGAGCTCAAAGAGCAAGATTTCTGCCTTTAAAGCAAATGCAGTAGCCTCATAAATGTGCCTTGAATACTTCTTTCCTATGCTTCCCCAGTCCCTGGCCTGCAGGGCTGGAGGTGCCTGAAGGCCATGACCTGCACGTCTTGGGTTCACTTTCAAGGACTGAGGTGAGGGCTTTGGGAGAAATATGACCCTGGGCCCACACAGACTCTTTGCCGCCCCTCTCCTCACCCTAGGCTTACCCACTTCTTCTTATTTTGGATGAATGCACTTCCTAACCTGTCTCAGTAGGAGTGGAGATAAAGCAGTTTTCACCCTGGTGTCTGAGAAGTTAAAGCAAAGGGCATGGTAGTCAGACTGGAGGGAGAGCTTGGGGTTAGGGAGGTAGACTGGGGGCAGGTTTGCTCCATCCTGCCTCTCACTCGCCCCAGGATCCAGGAGTTTCTCTTTATCTGGCTCTTAACCAGAGGAGCTAAGCACCTCTGCTGCTTAAAGTAGCTGTGGGGCTGCTCACCCTCCAAAGGATTGGAAAGGGAAGAGAAATGTTTTCCTAGCTCTGACCTCAGGTGTCTAGGGATAGGCGCAGAAAGGCAGATGACATAGGGATGTGGGGAAGGGTTCCTCTGGGATCTGAGGTCCAGGAGCCAATATTTCCAGCTGCCCCAGGGTACTTGGTGCTGGAGGGGAGGGGTTGCACCTTCAGGAAGGGGTCAGGAAGGCCAGAGGTAGCTGAAGGACAGACTCTAGTCTCTACCACCCGTTTCCAGTCCCAGGAAGAAGGCCCCTCCTAATCTCTAACTCTTATCCTCCCTGAGGCTTTGGTCTAGCTCCTAGTGAAACTTACTGGGGAAGAGTGTTCCCTGGGGAGCTGGAAGACACAAAAGCCAGGGCTGTTTAGCCTTTCCAGGTGAAGAGATGATGGTGATGGAGTCACACTAGCAGCTCTTGCAGGGGCCACAGAGTCCGCTGACACTGAGCTGGGGCAATGCCACCCTTGTTGCTAAGAGGGAGGCCCAGCCTCTCAGGTCTTAGTCCTAAATTCAAGAAGGCAAAAGGACTACCAGGTCCCTATCTCAGTTTTCTGAGCATCCGGTTGCCTTTTTCTTTTTCATTTTGGTATTATGTTTCATTAAGATAAAATGCAAGTATTTTACCCTCCCCCAGGATACCGGAAGCTACAGGAATGAGGGTGGGACCTACGATACAGCTGCCTGGGGGAAAGGGTTGTGTACTGGACCTCCCAACTCTCTCCCCATTGGCTCAGCTGCCCAGATTAAGCCAGTGTTGGGGAGACAGCTTTGTCCCGGGGGCCTCTGGGGCTGCTCCTCAGCCCCTTGAGAGTCACACAAAGGAGCAGCAGCTGGGCCGTCTCTTCTGGGACTCCACATAATCTCGGATCTGGAAGCTGGGCTCGTTAGCCTGCTGTCCTGCCCGGTGTTTCAGCTCCCTAGAAGAGGAGGAGCGAAAGGCTGGGTGGGGTGTGTTGTGCTGAGCATTCCTACCCCCATTCCCGTGGCTGGGGATAAACAGAGCTAAGAATGCAGAATGCATGTGGGCCTATGGGCCGGGCCAGGAGCTCGGACCTACTGGATTCCCCAGTGGTGCCTCCCTGCCCTGCTCAGCTCTCACTTGGCAATGGCCAGGAAGGCTAACTCCACGTTCATGCCGGTCTTGGCGCTGGTCTCCATGAAGGGAACACCGTATTCCTGCCCGGGAGAAAATGTCCTCAGGGCCAGCCTCTGGCTGCCCCACCACTTATCCCACCGCCATACTGGCAGTCACTTACCCTGGCCAGAGTCTCTCCGTCCTCAGAACGGATCACCCTTTCGCTGTTCACATCCGCCTGTCAAGCCCATGTGGGTCACTGGGGAAGGAACCCTTGCCCCGAACTGGCCCGCCTTTTGCCCCAGGAGCATGCACTGCCTGCCCTCTGCTGGTGGCTTGAGGGACTGCTGGCAGGTGTGACAGGCTAGGGGCCAGGGTGTTTGCTTGTTTAAATGGGTAACTCTTGCTGGCCAAGGTGTGGTGACCTAGCCTTGGGGGTAGGGGGTGGTGACAGTACTGGCAGCTAACGCTTCACAGTCTTAGGCCCTGACCCTGACTCCGCTCCCTATGATCAAATGTGGGCTGGCACTTGGGCGACCCTGCCAGGCAGCAGTTTGGGCTTTCTCCAAAGCTGTAAGAGGGCACTGGGAGAGCATGTATCTGACTCATGTATCCTGAAGTGGAAACCAGGGGGTCCTCTATGAAAGGGTGTCTAGAAACTATGCTTGGGTGGCCTTCATGGCTAGGCAATGGGAGAAGACGGGCAGGGTGGGTGGACCCTGCCTCAGAGCCACTTACCTTGTTGCCTAGCAGCACGATCACCACGTCCCTCTGGGCGTACTCATGAATCTCAGTGAGCCAGGCCTGAAGGAGAGGTGGAGCTGAGCCAGGCCGAGGCTGAGGACCAGGCCATCCTCCTGGTGTGACCCATGGAGGGTCCTAAGACCACACAGGGCTCAGTGACCAAAAGAACTGTAATTGCTTAGTGCTATGTGCCGTGTGCATGGGGTCAGAGGAGGCAGTATGACTGTCCTGGGCATCAAGGGGCACCCGAAACCTGTAACAGTATGTGGCCAGGGTCAGGCCTACATTTATTTATGTACTGTATTGCTAAGAATTGAATCCAAGGCAAGAGCTGTACGTGGAGCTATCTCCTCAGCTCTTTTTGCAATTTGATTTTGAGATACAGTCTTGCTAAATTGCCCCATCTGGGCTGGAACTTGCAGTTTTCCTGCCTCAGCCTGCCTGACAGGGAGTACAGGCATGTGCCAGCCAAGCCCAGCTTAATGTTTTTATTTATTGAATTAGTGTCTCTGTGTTCTAATGGTTTCATTGTCTGCTAGAGCTGTAACTAAGGCTGGATGTACACGTAGATGTTCCTGGCTGGGCTCTCAGCCTGTCTCTGTGGCTAACTGTCCAGGGTAGCACTATTCCGAACTCTCTGACATGAAGACACACTCATGAGTCATGGTCAGGTCTGTTCAGGCAGCACGGGGGCACAATAGCCTGCTTGGATTCCATGGCTGTATGGCTATCAGATGCCCAGTGACAGGTAGGTGCTCCTTAGCAGGTGGCAGGATTCTGTGGTCTGCCCCATTCCCAGGGCAGGAAGCAACCGGCCTGCACAGGCTCTGCCTTGGCTGCTTCTGGGCGGGAGGGTATCTGGGGAAGGAGGACCTACCCTGATGTTGTCGAAGGAAGATTTGTTGGTGATGTCATACAGCAGGAGCAAGGCTGGAGGGGAGAGAGACACAGGGCTCGGAGCAGCAGCACGGGTGCCACAGAGGGGCTGGGGGAGGGGCCGGAGGGTGCAGAGCCTCACCCTGGGCATCTCGGTAGTAGGCGTGGGTGACACTGCGGAAACGCTCCTGCCCTGCGGTGTCCCAGATCTAGGAAGGGATGGAGAAAAGGTTGGAAGGAGGCAGGGCCTAGGGCCTGCTGGCCGGAGGGACACACCGAGGGGTGACATCTGTGGGGAGGGGTCTGCTTCCTTCTGTATGTTCTGCTCGGCCTCTGAGGCCTGGTGATGTCCCGGATGGTGGTAGGTAGGGGCTTCTCAAACCCCACTCAGTGCTGTCTCCTCTTCCCCAGCCCGGGGTAGGGTGCCCAGGCTCCCATAGTGACTGCTGCCCAGGGGATGGGGAAGAGATGGAGGAAGGGAGGCTACGCTCCTCTGAAGGCATTGAGCTGCCCCGGATGGAAGAGAGGGTGCTCAGGAACCGCTTTTGCTGCAGACATCAAAGAAACAAAAGCCAGTTTCCTCTCTCTAGGGCCTCACAGGAAATTACCCCAGGCTGAGGGCAGGGCTGCATTCTGGTTCAGGGTGAAGAGCGTGGCAGACTCCGGCAATGACAACCTCTCTCTCCCCATGCCTGCCCCGGGGCTCACCTGTAGCTTCACCCTTGTACCATCCACCGTCACCACCTTGTTCTGAAAGAGAAAAGGCAGAGGGTGGGCAGGGCAGGAGAGGCTCTGCCAATATCCTGTCCTGGACCCCCTCTAGGCTTACAGGTGGTGTGGAGAGCCCCAGCGTTGTCCTCAGTCAGATCACTTTATCAGGGCAGTGGGAGCCCTGTCCCCAGACACCTGCGCTGCAGAGTCCTCTTTTCTGGGGGCTCCATCTCCCTTCGCACAACATGGCAGGGCAAGGGGAGCCTGAGAACCTGTCTGGCACTGTCCAGGGCTCACCTGGCATCACAGAGTGGTGCCCCTGTCCCTACTTTGGTCTTCCTTCCCCAGAGCCCAGCTCCATGACTGTCACCAAGCCCTTACAGATGAAGTGCCTGGACTGGGCATGGTGGCAGCATGTAATCTGTCATCCCAGCACTCTGGGAGGCTGAGGCAGGAGGACTGAAAGTTTGAGCCCAGCCTGGGCAATTTAGCAAGACTGTCTCAAAAGAAAAAAAGGGGTGGGGATATAGTTTAGTTCAAAGGCCCTGGGTTCAATCCCCACTGCTGAGGGAAGAAGGGAGGGAGGGAGCGAGGGGAGAGAGAGAGAGAGAGAGAGAGAGATAGAGAGAGAGAGAGAGAGAGGGAGGAGCCCTCCAGCATTCTAGAGCCCTTAGGGGCTAGACCTGCAGGGCCACCTCTCTCTAGCTATCTAGAGACCTCTTAATGTAGTTTCAGCATCTGTGCTTAGCAGCTCTGAGGCAGTTTGGTAAAGAGGGAGTCCTCAAGGGAGAGGGAGGGCCCTGTCCAGCCACTGTGTCCCCAGCTGGCCAGCCCAGTGACTAAGCGTGGTGCAAGGCAACTCCGGGAGACTCACCTACCTTGGAAGCCTGGCCAGGGGGCGTGGCTCATAGAGACTCAGCTCACACAGTGGGATGGGTCTGCTCTGCTCTGCCCCACCCCCGCAACCCCCAGCAGCAGAGAAGACCCGGTCTTGTTTTTCTTGTCCTGTATGTAGGTGGACAAGGTGCTGGCCCTACCCAGACTCCTCCAACCTGGCCATCTCCGCACTCCCCGGGGCGAGCTGCCCTGGTGCCCTCCAGGCTGCAAGCCAGAGGAGTTCCCAGAAGCCAGGACAGCACAGACAATTCCCCTGAGCCTGAGCCGCCATGGCCCAGCTCACTGCTTGGAGGAACCTACAGCCACCTCACCCTGAAGTCTATGCCGACCGTGGCTATGAAGGTCCCGGACAGGAAGGCCCCGTCTTTGAATTGGATCAGGAAACAGGTTTTGCCGACACCTGAGTCTCCCAGAAGCATCACCTAGGAGATGGGGCAGAGGCAGTTAATGGGGACTGGGGGATGAAGGGGCTTCTGGGATTCCAGTGAGAGACAACCTGGAAGACCCTGGAAAGACGATCAGAGGAGGGCAGAGGCCAGGCAGCAAAGGACACCCACAGCACCTTGTGGCACCTGCCCCTGGGGAGCCTGCTGCTGTCTTCTCCCTGCCACTCCATGATTCCTGGCTCTCCTGACCCTCCTGGCCCTGTCCAGTGTCCTAGAAGCCGGAGTTGAGACCTCTAAATGTCCTCAGGGGCTCCAGAGAGCCTCCTATTTGAGTGACCATGGCCACATGTGACTAGCCATGTTTATGTGTCACAGCGCCCTTCTGTGTGTTTACCACTCAGGTGTACATGTGTGGGTGGGGCTACAGGGCTGGAAGGGAACACAATACCTTGGACGGGATCCCCACCCAAGGGAGCCTATGAGGACCTCATGGGGGCAGGGCACTGGTGCTGGCACAGGCACATGCTAAAATTACCATTGTTTGGGTTTCGTTTTGAGTCACAGCACTTATTTGGAAGTATCTGAAGAGAGCTTTTGTTTACAAAAGGGTTGCATGAAGGAGGGAAGGTTGAAATTGGTACCGTGATGGAGAGACTGAAGTTCTTTTGGCAGAACCCCCAACCCCAACCCCATGGACAAATGTCACAAGTTAGCATGCCCGGGTTGCTGCAGGTAAGGCGGGGAGCAGCTCCTGGGAAGAGCGGGTGTGGGGGTGGGGGGTGACCTCCCCTTTACCTGTCTGCCAGCCCAGTGCTGCTGCTCCAGAGAACAGGTAGGGATGGGGGAGGGGCACCCTCCACTCAGCCACCCCTCAGTCTGGGAGAAGGGGAGTCTAGACTGTGCCGGGTGCTCCTAGTGCCTGGTTACTCTGTCTAGCGAGCTGGGCAGGGAGTAGGTTTGAATGAGTTTTAAGGCTCTGAATCTGACCTTGGATCTGCCTCGGAGCCAGAAGCTTTTCTGCCAACAGGAAACAGCAGTGTATTGGGATCGGCTAACTTGGTGGAGAGATGGGGGCTGAGCAGAGGTGCAGAAGGCCATGGTCTGGTTTATAAATGGCCTCCTGTGTGACTGTAGGAAGATTTCTTAGCCTTTCTGTGGCATGGTCTCCACAGTAGATAGAAGGGAAGAGGGGTCATTTCCCGGAGGCCATTCTAGGATCTGTCAGTGGCTAGGGCCATGTGGCCCAGACCCCTTGGATCCAGAGAAGAGTGGCCTACCTGCCTGTGAGCCCCAACTCTGGAAGGAGCTCCTGCAAGCCAGGCTCCTCCCAGACCCTGTCCCCTGGGACAGGCCTGACAGGTGTGTCTACGTGGGGGGGGCACTCTCTTGCAGATGCTGCCTGTCCAAGAGACAGATGGAGGGGTGAGGGATGGGACCCTCTGGAGCCAGGGAAGGAGGGAGGCAGGGCCACTGGCTGTGTACTTTACAGATCACAGCTGCCTCGGGCAAATGATGCAGCCAGTCACCCAGCCACTGGGCTTGTCCACCAAGCACAAACAGCTGCTCAGCCTCGCCACCTCCTAGGCAAACAGCTCAGCTGGGTTGTAGGGCAATAAGGCCAGGAGGTCCCCATCAGCAGCTCCCCCTCCTCTGAGAGATCAGGGGCCATTTCCTGCCACAGGCCCACAAAGGATGCCTATCTCAACGGCTCTGGGCGGGTGGCTGGTACAGTGGCTTCCCCTGACACTCTGGGGTGTAGGCACAGCACTTCCAGTGAGCCCCGGTGTGGGAGAGAAGCCAGGGGACAGCAAGAGGCAGGTGTCCTTCAAGGCCACACAAGATCCAGCCCTCTTGTTTCTCCCCCACCTTGCAGAGCAGAGTGTGATCTCTGGGCTTGCTCAGCGTCTCTTTTCAGAATTCCTTTTCTTTTGAGACAGGGTCTCACTATGTAGTTCAGGCTGGCCATGAACTCAACTCACAAGGTAGCACAGGCTGCCTCCAACTCCCACAGATCTTCTTGCATCAGTCTCCTGAGTGCCAGGATTACAGGTGTGTGCCACCACGCCCGGCTTCTTTCAGCATTCTCGTACTTGCTCGCTCACTCCAAGGACACACAGTGGGGGAGACAACCTAGTGACCACGCTGTTCCCACCTGCTTCCACACAGGGCACCTTGCAGAGCAGGCCCTGGAGAGCGGCCTTACAACTTTCTCAGGTGAGGCACGCCGTGACTAATTGCTGCGATCTTTCTCAGGTTCTAAACATTCCTGGGCCTGAGAGTTGGCTAGCAACAGCCTCCTGGAAAGAGGGGCTGGCTTGTCCTACTGCTGTGAGGGAGAGGTCGCAGTGCCAGGAGCCCTGGCAGGAAAAGGGGTAGGACCTGGAAGCCACCGACTGGGGACCTAAGAGTTTCTTAGGCCTTGAACGAAGAAGACAGCCCAGCTAAAGAAGGGCGCTAACCAGGAGCTGTCCCGCAGACAGGCGGCACCCTTTCTGAGTCTCCCAGGGTCTCCCATCTCCTAGCTCTTCCTAGCCTGTGCCCAGGAGGGCAGTGAGCTTAACCTTACCAAAAGCCACGGAGTTCCCCAGGCCCTTGCTGGCCGAAGTGTGGCAGAAGAAAATGGGCTGGGGTCTGCAGGGTGGGGAGTTTGTCCTGTCCATCGTCCTTGTCCCGCCCCCTCCCCCAAGCCAGCTCATATCTCTGGAGGCTGATGGGCCCCGGGCTCTATCTTGATCTTCATTTCCTCCTCCGGAGGACCGGGCTGCTAGGGGAGCGGCTGAGTCCAATCTGGATGCAGCCGGAGAGGGGCGTGGGCGGGAGAGGGCGCGGGGAGGGGTGCCCGTCAGAACCGGCAAGGAGACCCCTGCGCCGGGCGCGGCGCCCACCCACCTT